CCTAGTGTGTCCAGTATGCCCCACAAGTCCTCTTGAACCACGCTATCGTATGCTCCCTTGATATCCAAAATTGCTCCTTTTCTGCTATTTCGATGCACTGCGTCAGTGAGAACAGATTATCTTCCAACCTTCTGTTTTCGAAACCAATTCTGCAGTTCACCCACCACCCCCTTATCCTCTATCCATGCCTGCAGTCTTTCTTTTATAATCTGCATCGCCAGCCTGTAGACCCCTGATGTCACTGTTATAGGACGGTAGTTGATTATGTAGGCTTTGTCCCCCTTTCCTTTAAAAATCATGCTCATCCTGCTAAGTTTCCATCTATCGGGGACTTCACCATCGATTATTATTTTGCTCACTGCCTCTCTCAAAGCCTGCTTAGACTTCGGACCTAATGTCTTTATCAGCATGATTGGAATGCCATCTGGGCCTGTTAATGTACTACTAGGAACCCTTTTCTCAGCCCTCTCCCACTCTTGTTGTGAAAATGGAGCCATTGCACCACTTGATTCGTCTTTGTCTATTGTGGTGCATAAAGTACTTCTTAGTTGAAATTTTTCTGTCACCCTTGTTCTTATATATTCAATAGCTTCGTCCCCTTCTAGCCTAGCACCTTGGGCTGTAGTTATAAAGTTCTGCTCTAGGCTCGTCTCATTTCTTAGGGAGTTTAGATGGTTCCAAAATTTCGCAGCTGCCTTTCTATCCTTTTTATGTACTTCTGCCAGCCACTGAGCCCCCTTTCTTCTAATCTTTTCATTGATCGGAAGGGATGGTTCCCGTCTAAAGCTTAGAAAGATTTTTCATTTTCTTCCAACATCATCTGTCGGTTCACCCCGCTGCTTAGCATGTCTGTGTTCCCTAGAAGCTTCCTGACGTTTTGCTATGGCTCTCTTAACTTCCTCATCACACCAACTCTTGGGTTTGTGTCTTCTTTTCCGGGGTGACTTGTTACGTGCCTTAGCAAGTTCTAGCTCAAACAGTCTAATTTGATTCGTGTATGTCTACACTGTTTTTTATCCTCAGTGATTACTTTCTCAATTTGTTTAGTAGCTATTTCTATTTGCCTTTCTGAATAAAAATTCCCCTGTAGGTGCTCATCTTGTCTCCTTTTCACTTTCACTGCTCTTCCGAAACTTAGCTTGATACGTACGTTTGTGATCACTACCCAGACTTCTGGATCTACATTCATCTATGTGCATTTCCCTGAGCCTATCATACATCCTATGTGACATCAGTGCATAATCTATTGTCGACTGCAGCCTTCCTACTTCCTATGTTATTTGCCCTTCACACTTCTCAGTACAGTTGCAGATGATCAAATCATGCCTTTCAAACATATCTATGATCATTTTGCCTGTTAAGTCAGTATACCCATCTATATCTTCTATGCGCACATTCATATCTCCTAGTATAATTATCTCACACTCTCCTCCTAGTTCCTTCAATGTTTTTTGATATACACTCCACCATTGCCAGGTTTTCCTCTCTGGCCTTTGCTCCCATCCACAAGTACACCAAACCAAGGAGTGTCATTTGCCCTGCCACTTTCCCTTTTAGCCATAAATGTTCCTTGCACTCCTGCTTGACCCTTTGCCAGTCTGTACTTTTATGAATGAATGCCCCAATACCAGCCCCCTTTTTGCTGCCTTCTAACTTCTATTACAATATTCCCACGCGTAGTCCGGATTGTTAGGAGGTTGTTCATGTCCTTAAGATGTGTTTCTACAAAACCGTACACCATCGGCCTCTTTTCCCTTAGCTGTTCTTCTATCTCTTCCCACTTCAGCCTCTTCCTGCCACCCTGCCTGTCAATATACCATACGTCTGAATTTTCTCGGCCCTCGTGGCTACGTCTATTTCTGCCCCGGGCTCAACCTGTCTTAGATATTGGTGCCACTTTGGAATCATATCTGTTCATACTGCCTGTCAAAGAGTGTCCCTGGTTTGCCCGTTACTAGCTATCCTGCACCCCGAAGGACCCGCGTTCCCCCCAAAAAAGCTACTGCCCGTCCTGCAAGTTGCCAACCCACCTCATGACTCAGGCTGCCCATCGAAGTGAATTCTGTCTCGTTGAAAACCACCCCACCTATGCACCTCTCTGTTTATTTCCACCACCTAAAAGCCTTTCTCTAGACTCATTCGTCATATCTCTTCGCTTGCGTTGACAACCGCTCTTTGCAGGTTACCGTCACGCACCAGTACCTCCAGCATCGTGCATATCACTACCTGTACCTGAGGAGAAGTGGCGCGCATATCATCGACACCTTTCGCCAGTGTGGTCGCTAGTCCTGCTGTATCTTCATTTGAGACATCGTTGAAACCGCCTGAAATTATCACGAGGTTGCGTCCATCAGCTGTAGTTTTGAGTTTTGCGCTCGCTTGCCTCATCACTGCTTTCAGCCTGCGTCCTGGGAAAGTCCCTAATGCAACCCTCTTGTCACCTTTTACCCTCTCTTTAATTGCTTCTGTGCATCGATTCAAATTCGAGCCACCGGCGATTATCACATGCTGTGACTTTTCAGCTGGAGCGTCCTGCACCTGGGGGTTACTTGCGCCTGTGATGCAGGCTGCTTTGTCCCCTCCCAGCCTCTCCACTACTTCGCTGAAGCTGGCCTTGCGACAATTGAACTGGCTGAACCTGTTATTTCAAAACTTTTCAAACCCACCCCGCATCTTGAACACTTTACAGCCTTTTAACCATGTCTCTCTGACACCAATTGTCCTTATAAACTGTCTCACTCGATAACTACAAAACATGAAACTTGACCTACAAAAAAGAGAAAGTCTAAGCTCTACTACAAAAATTAGCATGTTCAATGTACGTGTAACTCCCCCACGGAGTGGCAAGAAAAAAAACCACAAAGAAACAAACACACACACAAACTAGTAAAGACCTGGTGACTGACCCTCGAATAAAGCCGCACAATGTAATAAGTGCTACAAAGGTTTGAACTGCTGCCTTATTAATTATAAAGGCAAGCTCAAAACATGCAAAACCACTTATCTGCGCAGTCGAGTGCGAGCGCTCAAAAAGCATGTCCATCCACCTTGCCAGTCTGAACTGAACTCCACAGCAGAGGACGTACAGAGCGCCCTCTAGCGGTGGCCGCCAGCAACCTCCATAGCCCTACCCTGTTTCTCGGCAATTGACCCACCCCTGCTTCTCTCTTCCATTCACAATCAACCATTCCTATCCGGTATCCCCTAAACCTACTTCAAGTAGACATTTCACTACTGACTAGAATGCTGGAGCTAATGAATTTACTCGGGCTTAAGCTCACTTTTATTACAACCATACCCATTTACTCCTTGCTATCTTTCTTTATACATCACGTTTACCCGGAGTCGCTTTCTTTGAATCATGCACATAAATGTTTTTTTTTCTTTTTGACCAGCATATAATGCGCCTGCATTAAATATATTAGGGAGACTGATATTAAACGAAGACAAGGTTACTTCTATAAAAGGGCATGGCTAGCACTACTAATGAACTAGTTATTGCATTTACTCAGGCTTGAGCTCACTTTTATTACAACAACTCCCCTTTTTCTATAAAAGGGGATGGCTAGCACTAGTAATGCACTAGTTAATGCATTTACTCAGGCTTGAGCTCACTTTTATTACAACAATTCCCCTTTTTCTATAAAAGGGGATGGCTAGCACTAGTAATGCACTAGTTAATGCCTTTACTCGGGCTTGAGCTCACTTTTATTACAACAATTCCCATTTACTCCATGCTATCTTTTTTATACATCACGTTTACCTTGGAGTTGCTTGCTCTGGATAATGCACATAAATGTTTTTTTTTTCTTTTTGACCCGCCTATAATGCAACTGCATTAAATTTAGTGGGCAACCCAGTCAGACTGATGTTAAACGAAGAATGGGTTACCTTTATAAGAGGGGATAGCTAGCACTAGTAAACCGTAACGTTATTGATCGAGACATTCTACTAGGTAGGCTGTAGGAGTGAACAGCCATGGTTTAGGCAGAACTTGTCACAGTCAAAGTTGCAAGTAACAGAACCACAATTGGCAAACATTACGCGTTATCAAGTCACACAGTCCAGATCAGGAATCGTTTGATATGCGAAGGCAGTGTCAGGTGTTATTAAGCCAGTAGCAGTCAGAATTAGCCGTCTGTTATCATACAGTAGCGAATATTATCCATTACTCACACAACACTTATCGAATTCAGTTCGTATCATACAAGTAGGCACAGTAGGGAGCTGCGGTAAACTGTGCGAGCAAACATAGTATTTTAGGAGTGCTATTCTGGACTCTGTGGAGTGCAGCCATATTGTCAACTTCCGCAATGGCGGCGTTTTAGGCCAATCACAGAGGCTGTAGCTGCTTTCTGCCACAGCAGACAAGATGGCGAAATTAGATAAAGTCTATCGAGGGGCACCATTCAGTAATTGTGCTATGTGGAGGAGAGGTTGGCGCATAGAGCGGCAAAGTCACTTACGGAGTTACGAGTCAACTCACTTGGACTCAATCAGATTTAGGCTCAATATGAGTCCCAGTAAGTACGATTGAAATAAATATCCACGAGTCTTAGCGCAACTGAATCCGGTACAGGAAAATTTTGGTCAAGTTTAAGTCAGAGCCAGTTTGGTTTGGAAATGTTTCACCAGTCTGAGTCCAACCGAATCTGCTTCAGCGAGGCTTTGCTGTGTGTGAGTCCGAGTGAGTCATAGCATAAAAAAATATTTCTAGAGGGCGTCTAAGCGAGCTCTATTTATTCTGCCAACTTATGGGCAGGAGTGAGGTGTATGTTAAGGCATATTTTCTGCATTACAAGTAAACTAGCTTGCTGCAGGGGATCGGATGCGTTATTCTAAGGTCGCAAATTGGGTCCCTGCCATCAGCAAGTAATCTTTACTCACTAATGGCACTTTACTTCACTTTACTTTCTTTTCATTTACACCATCACTACTACAAACATCTTGCATACTTTCCTTGGTCGTCTCGTCTGCTAGTTCAAATTAAAAAAACTCACTTGTATTTCTTGGACCGTGACCGAGTTGTCGGTGAGGTAGGCTAGCAGGTCTATCCGCAGGGCGTGGGTCTGTCGTAGCTTGGTGGCTAAAAGCAGGCACGCACAGCCCAGCAGTTGGAGCTGGGACTTTCGTGCCTGGGCCACGGACAGGTAACGGTCGAACAGGTTCATGGTCGTCGGGAACACGGAGTCGTCGCATTCCTGGTCTTCGCAAACCTGCGCGGTAGTTGAAACAGAGAGCATTGGCTTGAGGCCCGTATATACTGCGCGATGTCAGTGCACGTAGGAGACCAGATGGCCAAAAGCTCTGGAGCCGCCCCCAACAAAATCCCTCATATTCGCCACATATTATTATTAGCTGGAACCGTGAATGACCCTTATGAGCCCCACACGATCGTTCATCGGTTTCATCTCGATGACACCCTTCCTCGAGCTGCGATTCAGTACAAAAATATCAGCAATGTATAGATGCGCAACGAGTTGCCCCGCCGCGGTGGTCTAGTGGCTAAGGTACTCAGCTGCTGACCCATAGGTCGCGGGATTGAATCCCGGCTGAGGTGGCTGCATTTCCAATGAAGGCGGAAATGCTGTAGGCTCGCGTGATCAGATTTGGGTGCACGATAAATAACCCCAGATGGTCGAAATTTCCCGAGCCCTCCACTACAGCGGCTCTCTTATTCATATGCTGATTTTGTGACGTTAAACCCCACATATCAATCAATCAATCAATCAATCGACCATGTGTTTCGGGCTGCTGATACGAAGGTCACCGGTTCAATCCAGGCCGCGGCAGTCACATTTCGGTGGCAGCGAAATGGAAGAAGCCCGTGTCCTGCGTGATGACCGTGCACATTAGAGAACACCAGATGGTGAGAATTTCCGGTGCATTCCACTAAGGCGTCTCTCATAACCAGATGGTGGCTTTGGTACATAAAACCCCAGATGATATGATTGCATGCGATCCGGGTCAGTTGAAAATGAGACTAAAAAAAGGAAATCAAAAAGCGATAAAAATCCTTGTTGCACGAAGGGAATGAATATACAAGTGCCCAGACTTGGTTCGTTGTCCGGCAGTGTTGAGTTTTCGTTTAGTAACTCTGCGGCAACTATAAATGACACGAATTACGGTTCCTTTGGCTTCATCGTCTTTTGCCTTTATATGCTAACGTCGGTGCCTTTAGATGACGAGGTCATTTAACTGTCAGGTACGTCAGAGCATTGCTGCACGGCTTTTGTTATAGTGAGAGGTGAACATGTTAACGATCGTTAGAAATCCGATACGTACGTTCTTCAATAAAAAGAAGGCGTAATGGAAAATAAAATGCAGAATAACCCGAAATGCGAAATTATATATAGGAAGTATTAGGAAAACGATAAAAAAGTGTCTGTTACATCAATACACTTTGATTCTTTAGATGAATAAGGAAATCATGATAAGAGCAGTGTAGAAGTCCGAATGTAGCAAGTGAGTTTAATATCAGCACACCGACCACGTATGAAAGCACTTAATCTTCTATGCCTTCCACCATGTTTCAGTTTGTGTGACACTGCGCGCGCATTGCGTAGTCAAATGAAGCTGTCGAATGCCGGATCCGCATGTGGACAAAACCGTGGCCGGCGTCTCTCATAATCATATGGTGGTTTTGGGAGGTTAAACCCCCATATAAATCAACCACAAGAGATGCCGAAGTGGAGGGCTCCGGAAATTTCGTCCACCTAGGGTTCTTTAACGTGCGCCCAAATCTGAGCACAGGAGCCTACCGCATTTTCGCCTCTATCGGAAATGCAGCCGTTGCAGCCGGGTCAGCAGCCGAGTACCTTAGCCACTAGACCACCGTGATGGGGCAACCGAATTAGCAAGGGTAGAGTAATTGAGCAATTAGTGCATATATATATATGTATATATATATTGAAGAACTACGACCACCTGCATAGGCTCTACACAAGTCCTATATTATGAATGCAAAAAAAAAAAAGAACTTGATTATCATAAACCATATGTTGAATCTCTGCCTAAGGAATGTAGACATGACATTATCGTTGCAAAGAGAATGCATTTAGCTAAAAATGCGCACCGAAATGACGACACGTCGGCTGGCTCAATGTGCGAACAAAATGAAATGCCGGCGATTGTTAATAAACAAACACACAAAAACAAAAAGGCACTGGCATCTGGAATAAATATGAGGAAATAGACAGATTTAGAAATCTCACGAGATTACTGTGCCCTTTTCGATACGTCATCACATTTAGGACTACGTTCATTTTTCTTTGTTACATTGCTTGCCGCGCTTCTCGTCTTGCCGAAACCCCACGCACGACACCAAAGTGATGGATCATTTCGATACTTCTAGGAAACAAATATGATCGAGATCCGTCACTTATGAAATACTCGGCCTGAATATGACGTCAGAAGGATGCATATAAGGGACGCCCGCCGAAGCAACTCTGTTGCTCCAACCTTTTCCTTTCCGCTTTTGTGCATTCGCGATCTCCTCCTTTGAAGGGACACTAAAGGGCAAAACGATTTTTTTTTTTTTCGTATTAGCAAAGTACAATTTCAAAATGGCGAAAAACACCACTCTTACCACAACATGACGCCTGGTAAGCACGAAAATGCGCGAGAAGAAAATGCAGGTGAAGACACCGCCTTGAGATTCCCCGCACCGAACAGCGTAACGACATAAAATTTTAAGGGGTCTTGTGGGTCCTACGTAGTCTAATCGATACAGATGAAGTACAATGTCACCTGCGGCTGCCCTAGACCTCCCATACCAAGTTTTCGGATAATTCCATCGAGCCAATATTGTGAAAATACAAAAAAATACATTTGGAAAATGTTCACGTGCACACAGGGCTTTTTGCCCGAAACTTAAAAAAAAACCTCTAATCTTGACTTCCTCTGCTAACAATGAACTTATGGTAGTGAAACATATGACATTATATAGAGCTCTCACAGTGCCGTTTGTCAGTCTAAGCGAAGTCACTGTTCACCTTTAGCGTTCCTTTAACAACGAATCTATCTTCAAGTCAAGCCAGCACTGACTGCATACTTGTGCAGAGTGACACAGCAGGTGACGTATCGGGGAGGAGAGCGAGATAAACAACGAACTGAGCCAGTCTCACAACATGAAAACAATCGAATGGGCATCAAAGCTGTAATGATGGATGATGAACCTTTGCGCAGGGAAAGCTCTATCAGCATCGTTTCGTATTGTTTATTTAAATAAAGTTAGCACCCTATCATTTCGAGCATTGTCATCATCATCAATACGTTTTGTTTCCTTTATTCGCTCCCCCCCTTTTGTTGAGGTGACTAGCGTAACTACTACTACTAGTTGAGGTGACTACTATACTACTACTACTACTCCTAGTGATACTACTACTATGGTTACTACTACTGATACTGCCAGTCTGCGAATAGGGAGTACCAGTACTCCCTATTTGCAGTACTACTACGAATCTACCAGTACTCCCTACTCTCAGTACTACTACGAATACTACCAGTACTGTGACGATTACAGCTACAATTACTACCACTGCTACTACTACTATTCCTACTACTGCTCCTCCTCCTACTACTACCACTACTAGTACTACTACTACAACAACTGATACTACTACTACCAGTACCGTCACTACCACTACTACTGATACCGCTACAACTAGTACTGCTACTACTACTGCCACTACTGTTAATACTACTGCTACAGCTACTACAACTACTATCAGTACTGCGACTAGTGCTACTATTGCTGCTGCGACTACTACCAGTTCTGCAACTACTACTACTACTACTACTACAGCTACTACCACTCCTACTACAGCAGCTGCTACTACTACTACCAGTACTGTGACTACTACCACTAGTATTGCTACTACTACTACTACTACCAGTACTGCGACTGCTAGTAGTAGTAGTAGTACTACTACTGCTAGTATTGCCAGTACTGCGACTAGTACTACTACTACTGCTACTACTACTACTACGATTACTACCAGTACTTTGACAACTAGACTACTACTACTACTGCTGCTGTTACTGTTACTACTATTAGTGCTGCAACTACTGCTACTGCTACTACTGCTACTACTACTATTAGTACTGCAACTACTACTACTGCTGCTACTACGAATACCAACAGTACTGCGACTACTACTACTGCGACTACTACTACTATTACTAATACTAATACTGATACGACTACTACCAGTACTGCGACAACTCGCTGGCCACCCCCTGGCTACGCACTGCGCAGTAGTCACGCTGCTAAGCATGCCAATAAATCGCGTTTATAATGCAAAGCGCGGGGCAAAGTCATCGATTTCAACATTATCGGGACATCACGGCGATGGAGAAAACTTGCCTAGAATGTCCATGTGATTCGAATCGCAATAATAACAAACCACGAAACGGAAGATGAAACGAGACACTAATTGTAGAGCGCCAGCAAGTGACGTGCGGACTAACGGCATCTCATGCATTACGTTGTAATATACTGAAAAACAACGCGATCAAAACCACCGTCAACGCTTAACATACCTCAGCACCTACGCGTCAACGTATCGGGAAAACAACACCGATTTCTATCGAACAGAGCTGCCCTGCACAGCACTTTAACGGTTAAACCACCCAAGATATTACGCTTCAACTTTTGAACTTTCTAACGAAGCGTCACGACTCGGAACGCTAATTACCGATCAAAAGACGAGTCAATCAAACCACAATAGTTACGATGATGATTCAATTGGGAGTTTCCATATAGGTGCCCCGAAAAATCGTGTCGAGGCCACTGCGCATGCCCGAGACCCTGATAGGGTTTGGGCTTTCATTGGGGGCGCTATTTTTCGAATTTAACGGGAACCGAACCGAAAAGCTTACCACGAAAGCTCTGCGTAAAAAAAAAAAAAAAAAAAAAAACGTCACTGCACCTACTGAAGCAACGCCTCTCACGTGAAGACTAGTGTGACCTAAGAATAGCGGCAGCATTCAAAGCGCCGCAAACCCTATGCGAGAACTTCTAGCTCCTGCTTGGTTAGAAAACTCTATATTAGAAAACTCCCTATTCTGTTCTACCAATAACAGTCAAGTTTACGTAAAACCTTATGACGACTGTGAAAAACAACTTCGGGGGCACTTTCGCAAAAGTAATGTCGTTTCGCAATGTCGTTTACGTCCATCCGTCCCGACGGACAGAGGCACGGACGGACGGGCGGAAGCACTGACGGACAGACGGATGGCAGCACGGACGGACTCACGGACGGGAGCTCCGACGTACGGACGAACAGAAGCACCGGAAACACGGACGGATGGACACACGGCCGAACGGACGGACGCGCGGACGGACGGACGCTTCGCCCCGCTCCATCATGTCACTCCGTGGATATGCTGTGAAAACCCCTAACACCATCTAGTTGTATTATTCCCAAGGACATACGCACACAACGCCATCTACTGAGCAACTCACAAACTAGAAATAGCTAAATGCTACTACTACTACTACTACTACTACTACTACTACAACGCAGGAGGAAACGACCCACGGCCTAAAGAGCTTCACTCCTAAAATTAACCGATCCCCAGACTATGCGCGACTGTGTACTCTTACACTCCAAAGGAGCGTCGAACTAACTAGCGATGGCTATAAGGACCAGCGCACTTACAAAAAAATCACACCACTAACCCCCCTCTCCCCCCTCCCAGAATGCTCTCGGTAAGGCTTCCCCAATGATCGCGAAGCATCGTAGCCTAGGTGAAAGATTCGTCACGAAGCGAACGAACAGCGTAGTCAAACTCGCACTTGAGCAATTTTAAAAGCGAACAACCAACTCAAAGCCGTTGCGAATTTCAAGATTTGCAAAGCCCCGTACCACACGAAAAATTCTTCAAATGAGGCCACTGCCGGGTCCGGCATAGCTTTGTAGTCCATATTAATTTGGCGCCGATGTTACGTCTGATGCAGAAATTGTGTACGAAGCGGTATCGAGCACGTGGAAGCAAGCGTCAAATATCAAGAAGTTCTATAACAATATAAAGTTGCAACCAGTAGCCGTTCGCTTCTAATAATGGGACTTTTAACTTGGTTCGACACGCTTATTTAGAGTCCCATTGTCCCGCCCAAAAAGCGATTACGCTTACACACATGACAGACTATCTAAATGAGTTCAAATTTCCCTACCTCAGACAGCCACAGGGCCACCGTTTTCCTCATGAACATTTGAACTTCGGTCTGAAACTGGCCGCAGTAGTCGCCGGTGACCGTGTATCGCTTCTGCAGTGCGATTAATTTCTCCATCACACCGCAATCGCCGACAATGGCGGAATCGTGGGAAGCCCGCGCTATCCGTCCGTAACCGGGCGCCTCCAAGCACATCAGAGCTAGGCAGTCGGAATCCGACGCAGTCGCTGTCGACTCACTCGCTTGCACCACGTTAATTGTAGTAAACGCCAGCTTGACAGTTGGGGCTGTTAATCCGATTATGGCTTGCATATAGGAGACGGGATGAACCGAAGGCGCCGCCGCCGATCAAGCCGCGATGGAGATGCACGTTGAAATGCCGCCGAGAGACAGCTGAGGTTTTCGAGTCCAAGTAGCGCTTGACGACAACGGTTCGCGGAGTTTGTGAGGGAGAGTGTGGAGAGAAGTGAGTCGCGACGACCGCTGCTTTCGCTGTTTATTATTATTTTTTTTTCTCGAGCGAGAACATGGGGAAAGGCGGTGTGGTGGCGCTGCCGATGTATGCACCTCCTTTTCTGTCAGTGTTTTAGGAGAGAAGTGCTCCGGTAGTACGTGTGCTGGCTGCGCTCTAAAAAAGAGAGGCGATTGGAGTAGCGGAGGGTTGGTGAAATAGAGAGCCTCTCAAGGACTGTGCACGTGAAGACGTTGCGAAAGATTGTAGCTACTCAAAAAAAAAAAAAAAAATGCTAAGTGAGCACGCGCATGCTCGAAGAAAAAAAAAAGTGTGGTAGCTTTAATGATGATCGCGTACTGTTATCTCTTATCACCGTGGTGCGAGATTTAGAGGGCCCCTAAACGGCCTTGCAAAATGCAAAGTAATAATATAAAAAAAAGAGTGCATAATCATTTGGTGATGTTTCCCGTATTATTGACTCGCTTCGTGACGTTATAATGGTGATTCGCGTGACTTAATCTGGGCGCGTACTCTCGATCAACGTATATACGAGAAATATGAGTTGTGATTGGTCTCTTACCCTTCTTTGGCACGCGCTCGCTCACCAGTTCTTTCTTTTGTCACGTGACCATCGAGCGCGATCAACCGATTTCACGTCATTTTGCGTGTCTCCGACTGTACAAGCGGAGTTTAACAGCGTACAGCCCCCAATTACCAAATGCTGATAGGCTAATCGCCTCGTGCTTACGTTGCACACGTGCTTTTGGAAGAAATCGGTGGCGAAAACGAGATATCACACGTAGGAAGATGGGAGAAGGTGATTGAGAAGCCATTACGCTGTCTTAGAGCGCGGATGGGTTTAGGGACCATGAAGGCGCGGGGGGTTGTCGCACCTGTCGCAATACGTTCTGTGCAACCATAACTGACATTGACAAATTTCCTTTTTGACCGATTCGACTCAGCAACGCTTTGTTTTGCTACTCTTGGTATATGGGTTCTGATGTTCGGTTGCTGTGGTTCAAACAGTAATAACATCTGGGGTTTTACGTCTCAAAACCACAATATGATTGGGAATGACGCCGTTCTCGAGTGCTCCGAAAAACTTGACCATCTGTTGCACTGGAATCTCACAGTATACGGACCTCTGCTGCTTTGCCGACCTCCTTGATTTAGGGAGGGGCACCCCCTTGAAATGGTCATTTTCCGCTCGCTATGCCGTGGTGAAAAAATATTTCCGGGGGGAAGGGTGCACGTTCCCGGTGTGCCAACCCCTGGCTACGTCCCTGCTACGCAATCGCGGAAAACAATGTGAGAAGACTGGTACAGACTTTTTTTTTATGTATGAGCAACATTGTATACGGGACTCCTTATTCTCCACACTACAGATAGCGGAGAATAATACTTGTTGGGACTTCAACGCCCAAAAATATGGTGTGATTAGGAAGGATGACGTATATAGTTCAAGGCTCCGGAAATTTGGATCACCTGGTCATTGTTAACGTGCCCCAGATCACATCGCATAGCACCATAACATCTATGGTCACCGATGTCTGTCGTTCTCGGCGCCCTGACAGTCAGTCTGTCTCAAACGATGAGAGAGAAGTAGTACTAGACAAAGATGCGAGGGCACAAACACTGTTTCACAGCCACTGACGCCAAGTTTAACGCCAACATAGTTAACAATCAAGTTAAAAATCATCCCACCCCGACACCAGAAAAAAAAAAGAGGGAAAAAAACATGAATCAGAGCCCCCGCATATAAGTATCACCGTCATTCCATATATGCTCGTAAAGTGTCCACAACTTTTAAATGTTGGCGCATACTTTAGAGTAAAAATTCTCTTCAGCGCACAGCGCAAGCTATCTAGCCTTAAGAAAATCAATACTGTACAAGCCAGAACAGCATGAAAAAAAGAATCACGTGCAACAAATCGTATGATGCCGAAACAGTGTTGTAAATGGGATTCCACGGCGGCGCTAAGTTGGCCGAACCGACCGGTGCATCAGTGAAAGATTACGAGAGCATGCGTGTCCACTCAAACGGCCCACGAGGAGCTCTCTTGTAGACAAGAGCAAGAATTTTCATGGCAATTAAGCGACCTTTTTCAAGATGGAGAAACACTAAGCACTTATCCAGAGTAACAACATTACCAAGTAGTCGAGACCGTCTGCATCAAAAAAGGAGCGGAATATTTTCTCAGCATCGTTTCGCTATCGTTTCACAAAAACTGAATGACGCACCTATCCAAAACTGCGTTAGCACTGTGCGCAGCGATTGATTGATTTGATTTGATTGATTTGTGGGGTTTAACGTCCCAAAACCACCATATGATTATGAGAGACGCCGTAGTGGAGGACTCCGGAAATTTTGACCACCTGGGGTTCTTTAACGTGCACCCAAATGTGAGCACACGAGCCTACGACACTTCCGCATCCATCGGAAATTTAGCCGCCGCAGCCAGGATTTGAACCCGCGACCTGTGGGTCAGCACGCTGTACGCAGCGATATCTTGTTCACTGGCACGTATCTTGATTGAGTGTTTTTTTTGTATATTTTGAAGTGCGGACGCAATAACATTGAAGTCAGCAACGCGTTCGTGTGCCCTTGCCTTTTTTATCTATACCGCTGATTCTTCGTTTATGGTCGGTATGTATGGACCAGCCCATGCAAGACGCTAATGCCGGTCGATCTATCATCATCGCGTAGTTTGTCATCCCATGGAAGTTAGGTGGAAGCCAGTGGAAGCCAGTGGAAGCATTAAAGAACAGCAATTTGGGCTAGTCTGTTGAAGTGCATAATGCAATGGTTTGCAGGGCAAGCATGGAAGTGGTGAAAGAAAGGCGTAACAGCGAGGACAACACAGCATTCGTGTCATCCCTCGTTGATTTCCTTTCTTCGCTTCAGCACTTCTCTGCTTGCGCTACAAACCCTTTCACTATGATAATAAATTGACGTATTAGGAGAGGGGAGCGCTGCAATAACCCCCCCCCCCCTCGTCGGAGAGGGACCATACGAACTGCTATGCTCGCTCTTGTTTCTCCGTGCGGACAACACGTGTCTGTTGCGCTGTCAGTCTTAAAGGCAACTGCGGATAACAGTGGCAGCGCGATCTCTACGTCGCTGCAGAAACGGGCACAGTAATGACTGGTGGGCAAGTCAGACCGCCCAGTATCGTGACGCTTTTGAAAAAGGCATCGGCGCCTGGCGAGAGGGAGAGTGTCAAGTGGGCCGTGGCACCATATATATACCGATGTATGTCCTCCGCAAAAAAGTGCGTATCTACGCATCGTTTAGTCGGCACATGTGATCCGCAAAAACACGAAGCAATATGATTGATTGATTGATTGATTTGTGGGGTTTAACGTCCCAAAACCACCATTTGATTATGAGAGACGCCGTAGTGGAGGGCTCCGGAAATTTTGACCACCTGACGAAGCAATATGAAGCCTGGTATTAAAAGACATCCCTCGAGGTATATCATAATGCCTGTTTATTTTACCAGTGCCGAAAAATCAGAAAATAATGTGGCATCCAGGTGTGACAAGAATTTACGTACTACCGGTCATAGACGCAGGGAAAACCTGGAAGTCGCGGATCCCTACAAGCGGGTGGTAGGTGTGCCCGTAGCAGGCAAGCACGGCAGAGCAGAGACCATCATAAGCCTTCGGGCTGAATCTTGATATGGCAGTGAGATGACGCAGCTCTACCCAGAGGGCGTCGAGAAAAATGGCGAGCATCGTTGGCTGTGCCGTGACGCCATTCAGCGCAAGTTGCGTCAAGCTGCATGAACCATACTTTGGGGTAGTCTGGGTAGAAAGGCTTTCCTGACGGGCAGAATCGTGGAAGCATGGACTTGGAAACTTTTTGAAGGGCGCGTTCCTAGGGTAATTACATGTAGCGAGAGGCAGAGAGATGACGTGACGGCGGCCGATGTGGCCGCACCAGTCTCACCACTTTATTCTAAAGGGTCCAAAGTGGAGCGGCGATAGCTGCCTGCGTACAATAGCCGCCAGGCGCGAGCACACGTTCTGCCTGGCACGCACCTCGAGCTCCCAGCACGAGTGGCGCGCGAAACGCGGTGCAGTGGCTGAAAAGTCACGATGACGACGAAAGATCACAATGAAGGCGCTATACATCCATCCCTTCATCCATGCATACAAACCATCCATCCATATGAATCTATCTATCTATCTATCTATCTATCTATCTATCTATCTATCTATCTATCTATCTATCTATCTATCTATCTGTCTGTCTATCTATCTATCTATCTATCTATCTATCTATCTATCTATCTATCTATCTATCTATCTATCTATCTATCTATCTATCTATCTATCTATCTATCTATCTATCTATCTATCTATCTATCTATCTATCTATCTATCTATCTATCTATCTATCTACCTATCTATCTATCTATCTATCTATCTATCTGTTGCATCCTTTCAACCACTTGCAATTTCTTGGCAAACTGTGAATACGAAAATGTTTCTTTATGCTTACATAAAAATTGCTTGTAAAACCCTAGTGTACCTTTGCTTTGGCGTTTCGATTTAGTCAATATAAATCTATTGAACCAGGAAAGAAAGGTCCAAATAGAGAAAGCCGCCAGGACAAACTTGGTAAACCGATATAACTTGACGTGGTATAAATGCGCAGAAATATATGCGTCGCGTGTGTATACGTGTTGCAGCAATGGGTTGTCACGCTCTACGCCGTCTGCTACGCTCCAATGGCCAGTGGTGGTGACGGTCACGTGACACTAGCGGACCATTTTCCATCGGAACGGTAGGTGTTCCGCTTCGGGCCAGTTCATTCGAGTCATCACCATGGCGTCGGTC